GTATCTTTACTTTGGAAACTGTTATTGAGTATGTTAAAGCTGTAATGAAATGCTTTTTCTAATCATGTGGTTATTAAATTTTAAAATTTTTTTTAAAATATTTAAGCCCAAATCTTAAACTTTCCCCTTTAGGGAAAAAAACATCTTCATAGACTTGGCAGAGAGAATTGCCAAGAGCCTTGGGGTTAACAGTTGTTGGGTATATGGTGTAACCCTCATGAGTGAATAGGGATGAGCGTGGACGTTTATTTCATATAACAATGGAACCGAAGCCTCACTAAACAGGAAGATGAAAAACCCCAAGATTGGGTCCTCACGTCAGAGGTGCTTGGAAAAGAATGTATTATCAGATTAGGGCCTGGTCACACCAATGGATAGAAGAGACCCCACATGAAAGAATACTGTTCTGAAATGCCACCTGGTGGCCAAATAGATCCACTTGGCTTTAGGCTCCCAACTGAAAGGGAATAGGGACTAATAGCCGCAGTCTTGAAAGAAACAACCTCTGTTTAACTATACCAGTTCTGACACTACTAAGGTTAACTCCTTTCTAGGCATTCCAGAGATTCATAAATTCTGGGCTAATCTGGTTCATACCAATTGGAAGGCAGCAAATGGACTGTTTTGGATATGTGGAAGAAGGCATTTACCCACCTTCTTACCAATTGGAAAGGGTAATTCCTTACTATTGGAATAATCAGGCCTGACTTCTTCTCGTGCCAAATCAAACAGGTAAAGACGAGTGTATTCTCTTACATGAAGACCTAGGGTCAAAGAAAAAGAGGTTCATTGGAAAAGGAATTAACCTTGGAGGGTAACAAAGCTGGAATGAAGAGGAACAATCACCTATAGCCCAGCTACCTGGGCACAGATGGCAGTTAGGCTATAGAGCTCCTATCTACATGCTTAATTGAATCATCTGCTTACAGACTGTATTAGGAATTTTAACCAACCAAACTGCTTCAGCCCTAAACCTCCTAAGCCACAGAGCAAACTTAAAAGTGAACTGCCATTTACCAGAACTGCTTGGCATTAGATTACCAACTGAGTGAGGAAGGAGGCATTTGTGGAAAATTCAATAGTTCTGAGTGTGGCCTCTAAAACAGACAAACTGTAATAT